TCCCTGGACTGGGAATGCAAAGTGACAAGCAGAACTTCATATTGATAAGTGTTGGTTAGTTGATGTTACAAGAAGCTGGGAAGAGCAGGCAACAGAAGTGTGGCCCATCAGTACCAAGCCATTAATGTCACTTGACAGTGTAGTGAGAGTTTTCTACTGCAAGAGGAACCACCTGCAAACTTCTTTGCTTTATAATTCCTGTCATAAAAGGGTATGGAGGCAGGCAGGAAGGTTGCTGCTCTATGCTTTCCCAGACACGGTGCCTGATAGGATTACTTCTCCCACCTTTTTAACAGTTTAACTTGCAGCTAAGTGCTCCCCTCCTTCTCTCCTCTCCCTGTGGAGGACATTCTCATTCAATTGAAAGAACAGATGTTGGCTAATGCTGTAAGATTGCTGCTCCTGTAAGATTAATGTCAGATTGTCCACAAACGGCCACCAAAAGGCCCTTTTCCTCTTTCAATACACTGGTGCTACTAGAGCAGACAGTCTCCAGTTTTCATGTCCTTGACCTTTATGCAGGACACCTGAGTAAAGCCCTGCTCCATGGGCCCATGCAAACACCCAGGTTTCCGTGACTTATTGCAGACCAAGCTCCCAATGAAATTAATGGGATGCTTGCTACTGACTTCAGTGGTAGCTGAGTCAACTGCTTAGAAGATGAAACCTGGACAGCTCAGAGCAGTTCCTGGCTCTGCTCCACTGGAGCACTTCTGTGTGTCTAACTTAACAGTCCCCCTCCGGCCGGTGCCCCACAGCGCGTCTCGACTAAGCAAGGTCAAGATCCGCAGTTTCCTGGCTTGCACCACTGCCCGTGAGCACCTGAAGACATCACCTCTTGCCTCCCTTGTGCTGACATGAACGTCACCAGCGCCTAAAAACCTTTGTAATTAACAAAGGTGTTTGGCAGTACTCAAGTACAGCGGAGTAAAGATGTTCACGCATCTGTAGAAAGACAGTTACGCCTTGGCTGACCTACCTTTAACAGAGGCTGAATATGTGGAAATGATGCAAAGGAACAGCACGGTGAGAACAATCATGCTGGACTGCCCCGAGCTCCTGACTGCAGCATGAAGTGCGAAAGCCTCCAAGAAGGAAGAGAGCCTCCAAGAAGCGACCTGCTGACAATGGAGCAGCGCTTGCAGAGGGAGCTGCCGCACCAGCCAGTGTGTTTATCTAGATGTAGTAAGGGTCAGATTCCAAATTCCACACTCAGGTACTAAGTTCATGGAAGGACTTCCAGTTAATTATTAAGAACTAGGGTAACTGGAGGTTTTTACCCATTTTATTGATTACCTCAGCTTTCATTTTTGAATGCCCATGCAGCCACATTGCTGAGCAGTGGAGGCAGCCTCCAGACCTGGCAGAACCAGGAGCTCCCTCCACTCCTCTGCTTGAACAAAGGTGTGCTGCTGACAGGGGCTGAATTTCTCACTATTGCTTTCCAACTTCAGGAATCAGCTGTATAGGCAATCACAGAAGCAGATGCTTTTTAAGGGTCTGTGAGCAGAAGTACAAGGAATTTATCAGTGCCATTAAAAAAAAAAAAAAAAGGAAATGTTGCTCTGCTAAGGAGACTGATGTGCAATATCAGTTCCTTGGCTTTTATATTGTACAAAAGAAACTCTCTCTTTTTTAGCAGCCCCTATATTACTTCACTGCAGCAGATTAGAGACTGAAAAGATGAAACAAGCCAGCCACTCTGTCTTCATCCTGAACAGGGCAAACCAGGCCCTTCTTTTTTCACCCATATTTTCCAGTTTCCTTCTGTTCTGTTTATCTCTCAATAAGCTCTCACCTGACTAAAGCACACGTTTCCCCATTTCCTCTGAGAGCAAATCCCAGCCCATCCCACAGTCAGCCCTGCTGCTAGAGGGCTCATTAAGGAAACCCTTGTCCCTCGGATAACTGCGTGGCAGCGTGTTAACCCCTCAGCACGTTCCTCAGAACACTTTGCACATCAAAATCTGTGCCAGGACACTCTCTCCCCAAGCCAGTGAAGCCTGCTTCTTTCTGCGTTGGGAGGGATCTGCCCCTACATGTTTAAGTAGGGGTAAGGTAGGGATAAGAAGGATAGATACCCACCAGCCATCACCATGCTTTCTTTCTCTATTTCAGAGGTTATTTTAGCAAGAGATTTTTATTTTCTTCTCCAGCAAGCTAGGTCCTGTAAATAGCTCCCAGCCACAAAATGACTTCCCACTATAGGCTAGAGTGCTACTTGCGTTGTCATTACATTACAGCCTTAGGACTTTTGGCTGGCTGCTAGCTACAAATATCCCAACTAAAGCAGTGCTGCCCCAGGCTGTATTTAACTGCTAGCAATACCTTTTCTGTAATCAGGTCTTCTGTATGAGTGAAGGACTGCTAGGTTAGAACAGCCTGTGATAGCATAAATGCCTCCTTCATTGCCTTGTGCTGACAGAGAAGCCTGGTACAGTGGCTGCAAATGTCACGCAATGGTGAGAAGCAGCAGAGCCACAACTGGTCCTCTCCTTCATATCCCCACACCTGGAGGAAGCCCCCTGGAAGTTCTCTGCACTGTGTGTGTGTGCATAGAGGGAAGGAGGCAGGGAGGGATTGATAGAAACAAACCTTGCTCCTCTGCTCCCCGCTTTTTAGGTACTCTGCTTCCACAACTCAGGCTGCAAGATGCTTCTGAACTGAAGGGACTGGAGGCACAGCCTAATGTATACACAAGTGAAGATGTCTAAATAGAGCCCAGAGCACACACAGACCAGGTAAGGGTCACCGGGAGACACTTCCAGTCTCTATGGATGCCCCAAGAGATTCATTTTCCCTGTTAATTTGAGTATATCCCTGAATCCATAAGCCAAGTCCTTCTCACAGTTTGCAGAAGGAAATGTTATCAGGCAGATATACTGCTTTCATATTGCTGTTTCCTTGTGTCTTGTTCTAAGCTCTATTTTCTGTGCACTGTTTTGCTGCATATAAGAGTTAGGTAACCCATGTGTGTATGCATTTCTGCACTCCAGCTGATTGTTTTGCTGCATTTGGTAAACAAGAAACTCCCCAAGCTCTCTGTTCATTTTTAGAAAACAAATTAGAAATGACAAAATCAGTATGCAAAACAGCTCTAGCTAGAAAAAGAACAGAACTATAGGTTCTGCTTTGGAAATGAATCTTCACACTTCACTCACTGGGAGGAGGTGATGTTGGTTGGAAATCTGGGGGAAAGTAATCCCCCTCTTACACTCCTGGGACATAGGAAATGTATGTCTTCCCTGAAATGAAGTTAAAAGAACAAAGGCCTCTCTTAGTGCCAGAATATTAGAGGCCAGATCATTTACATTGGTGTAGTTGTTTGTACACCAGCCAACTGTATGCCTGTTACAGAACTAAGTCTCTAACCATCACGTATGTGCAGAGAAACAGTGTTACGTACTTCCACATGCATGTATATTTATATCTAAAAAACTACATACGTGCATTTAAAGCACACTTGGTGCAATCTTAGAATACCTGGAAAAGGGGAGGCCTGAGCCTCTCCTCAGTTGTGCTGGGGCTAAATCAGCAGTGGCTTCCTTAACATCAAATGACATCTATGAAAAGGTCTTGCACCCACCAAAGTCCACTACAGGCAGAGGTTGTGGGATCAGCCCTTTAATGGACACCTCACGCCATGCTGGCATATGTATTAGGATCAAAGTATTACTGTTGCTGCACATTTTCCAGAGTCCAAACAATAAAGCTCATATCTTTATATGACCTTATAAAACTAATGAGATTTCCTCACATTTTTCAGGGGTCAATAAAACATTTTTGTCTTCCCTTCACAAACGCTCATAATTTTCACCTCAACCCACGTGCACCAAAGCATCCAAAACCCATCTTTGTCTTCCAGCTAGTGCTAGGGGTTCAGTGAGCTGTGCTCCCAAGACATCCTTCTTTCTACTCTGGGGCAGGGAGACGCACAGCCAAACCTGGTGTGGAAATCTAGATACTAATAGTAACATAATTGAGATCTTCAATAGATGCAAGCAGAAGCAAATGCAAACCTGGTTATTTATAAAGTAATGCAGGAAATAATCACAAATGAAATCAAATATTACAGCAAATATCCAGCATGAACAGCAGCTAAAGGTCAGCGTCTTACAGTAGTGGCCCCATACAGTTCTGTGACTTTAATTTAGCCATAGCAAACCTGAAACCAGCAGCAGGACTGTAAGGCTGTGTATATCTGGAACCAGTGAAACTTGAGACAAACAGCGACGCACACGGAGAAGAGATGATGGCAGCACGCACCTCCTGTCTGCCGCACGCACCTCATTAGCCAGAGGCAAACCGCTATCGGCATACAGAATTAGGCTGCCCAAACTGCGTTTTTCTCATAACCCAAGGCTCCAGCATTACTCCTGTGCCCGGGCAGCGTTGTTCACGAAGTGATCAGGAGGGGAAGGAACACTGTCCATGCGTTTTGGCACTAAGGGCACAAGAGCCAACTGGTGGGGGCTTTTATGTATGCAGATATGGAGCTGGAAGGCGCATCTTCCCTGAGGAACGGCAGCGCTCAGAAGGACTCTGCTGCCCTCTGTGTGAACTCGCTGGTGTCAGCACAGCCATCCGAGCAAGTTCTCCTGCCTATTTTGCTCCCTTCAATCCGCGGAGCCCACGCAGCTCCCCGGGCGGGAAGCAGCGCTTTTCCGACGGATCCTCCAGGGGCATCATAGGTCAAGGGCGGACGGCTTTAAACTCACGGAGGGAAGATTTAGACTGGATGTCGGGGGGAAGTTTTGCACTGAAAGTACGGTGAGGTGCCCAGGCTGCCCGTAGAGGAGGCGGATGCCCCGTTCCTGGGGGGTTTCAGGGCCGGATTGGCGGAGCTCTGAGCAGCCCGATCTGCCGTTTGGCTAGCGGCCGGCAACCCTGCCTGTGGCCGGGGGGGCTGCAACTGAGCGATTCCTGAGGTCTCTTCCAACCCAAGCGGATTTACCGCTCCACCATTCCCCGCCAAGCAGCACCGGGGGCGGCGGGGTGGTGACCGCGGGCAGCACGTGACGGCCGCCCGTAGCCCGCTGGGATTTGAAGTCGCGGAGGGCGGGGAGGGCGCGCGCGTGCGCTCGAGAGGCGGTTGTTCCTCCGAAGGCCTGGCGCGTGGGGCGGCGCGCGGGTACGTGGGGGTCTGCGCGCGCCGCGGCCGTTAGCGCTGAGGGGAGCGCGCGGGGAGCTGGGGGGCGGGGAGCGGGGAGGAAGGGGGAGATGGCCGCCTGGCGGCGGGCCCGGCGAGAGCCCCTCCGGCTCCTGCAGCGCACGGCAGTCGCCTCTGAGGAGGTTTGAGGCGGGGGGTGGAGAAGCCGGGTGACTTATGAGGTGGCTGGGGGGCGCGAATAAAGATGCGCGTGTGTTTCTGTGTGTGTGTGTGGGGATACGAGCACACGCGTGTGCGTACAGATGTGTAGCTGTGCGGGTGCGTGCCTGAGAGCCCTCAGGAAGCGGCCAGGGGAGCGCCGGGCGCGGGTGCTGCGGGCGGGGCTGTGCCGCTGTGCCGGGCGGGGCTGCGCCGCTGGGCGGCTGCTCCTCTTCGGCCTCGTGCGCCGGGCATCCCCGGGTGGCGCGGGGCTGTCGGTTAGCTGAGGTCGCTGAATGCCTCTGACGGCGTGCAGCGCGGCTCTGGTGCTTCATGTGTTATTAACCTGGCTTTAAGCAAACCGCAAAAGGCACTCCGTTTTTTATGATAGATGTTTGTTAGAACGGCGTTCGCTCTGACTGAACTGGTTGTTGATAGCTTTCTAGTGACTACTGTCTTGTATCTTACAGAACTGGTGAGATGAAAAGTTGTTTTTCGTGACATATTTATCACGCGGATGAGATACGAGTCAGTAAGCCAGCCAGGAGCTCATGTCATCAGGAACACCAACAGAAAGCACCATGCCCCCTGATGCGCCTGAGCTGGAAGCAGAGGTGAAGTCGTGTGAGAGGCAAGTAGAAGGACAGGAGGAAGGCACAGGCAAAGCAGAACGCCTTGAGCCCATGTCCAAGAGGCAAAGGAAGAAACTACTGAAGCAAAAACAGTGGGAAGAACAGAAGGATCTCCGAAGGTATGGTTCACGAAAGTTTTCATAGGACTGTGTGTGCTAATTTCTTGTGATGGTCATAGCGTGTCAGCAGAATCTGTGCATAGATGGTTTTAGCAAATCAGGGCACTTGAACCAGTTTTTTCCCATACTAGGTTTAAAGCAGTAGTCACAGTCTGCTCCATCTGAGAATGAAGAAGCTGTAAAGGTAAGCATTTTCTCCATGCTAGAAGTGTTCCTCAGCTTGAAGCAGATAGGAGGAGGGCTTCAAAATTGCATGTTACTGGCTTGTCAGGAGGGATGAATCTCAGGAATGGGATGTGCCTTTCCTTGTTGCTGGCAGATCTTGTAAAGCACTGAGTTCATTTTTTGTTTTGTTTTTTTTTTTCTCTTTTGACACATGAAATGCTGTAGTGTTAGTTACATGGACTTATCTGTGGAAAATGTTTTTGGGCAATGGTGAGCTGTGTTCTTCTGTTGTTGGGAAGAAGCATATGTGGGCAGAAGACCTGACTCAGAATACCTTTAAGTCTGCAAAACTCACCATTGTCTTCATTTGAATCATCACAGATATTTATCTTTGTGTGTATATCCAGAACTTCACAAGCAGAGTTGGGGTATGGTTTCATGGTTCTGTTGGCACAGATGCGAGCAACAGAGAGAAATTAAACTACCACTGTTATGGGCCATCCACATTCATCACAGAACTGTGCATTTATGTGCATAATGTGCGCCTCAGCACAACCTTTTTTCAAAGATTTATCTGTATGTTTATTTGTGTAGGCAGAAACGAAAAGAAAAACGCCAGAAGAGAAAATTAGAACGTCAGTCAAAATCAGACACCAGTAATGAAGGGAATGACAGAAAGCGTATGCGAAGGGAAGTTGTGCCCAGCACGCTTCGCCTCGTTGTGGACTGCAGCTTTGATGACTTGATGGTGCTAAAGGTAAGTCAAATTTACCCCTCAAATACTATGTTGGAAGATGCTTTGGTTGCAGTGTTGATGCAATATCAGAGCAGACAGTAGTGGATAGTTAGTATTGTTCAGATTGTAATGACTCCTAGAACTGCTCACATCAGTTGCAGACTTTTTCAGGGTTTAGAATGTATGTTTATGTAAGCTTGCTGAAGATTCTGATCATATTCACAGAGATGTGGGAGTTGGTTTGATTCCATGAAACAGGAATATAGAAACAGTTTGTGCAGTGTGTTCTCTATGAAACTGTATGCAGTTCTGCTTCAAAGTGGTTTTGCTAGGAAGGTTGTAAATGCCACATCCAATTACTTGTTTTCTTTGAAATCATTGTGAGGCTCCCAGCAGTGTTAGAGAGGTTCCACGGCAATTAGAACTCTTAGCATTATGAGGATACTGAGCTTTTTCTCTTAGGTACACCAGAAGTGGTTTGGGCAGGACAGCACAAAATCTCTAAAATTTTAGAGTGGATTATATATTATAAAAAAAAAAAAAAAGGGGAGAGATGTTCACAGGATAGGTAAATATAAGAAAGATCAGCCATGGTACCCAGCCACTGGTCAAGACGCTTGATCTGCCATTTTGAGATCAGAACAGCTTTACCCCTACAAGGAACATGCAATACTTTGCAGCCTCATGCATGAGTGCAGGCCGCAGTGTTTAAGGCAGACCTCTCCCCTTGCTTTTACCCTGAGCCTTTCTACTGCTCTGACTTCACTGTCCTGCAAGACTGCATGAATTTGAGCTTCTGCAAAGCCCATCTGGCTGCTTTTTGACTGTAATGTGGAGCACGCGTGGCACTGACTGTGTTGTGGTGTGGCAAATTTCATTGATTCCTGAGATTAATTTTGAATGTTTAAATGTGTGCTTAAATCTCAGTGATTTTGTTTTGTTTGTTTCCTTGAACAATGCAAATCAAGCATGTGCATAGAGGTGTTTAAATGTGGAAGATGTATGTTTCCATGTCAGCAGAATCCCTTCACAAAGGCTGTTCCTTCTGTCAGGGTCTGATGTCCGCTCTCTGTTAGCAGTCACTTTTGCCAGTTAAAAGCCTCCTTTTTCTCTCTTTAGCTTCTGGCTCATGGTAAAGCATTTTGTGGTGGTCTGTCTGAAGGACTATGTAAAAAAACAAATTGTGTTGTATACAGGATGTTAAGAAGCTTCACAAGCAAATTCAGAGATGTTATGCAGAAAATCGCAAAGCATTCCATCCTGTGCAGGTATGTTGAAACAAACTAAGTATGGCTGTATTGTCACATACAAAGTGTGTGAAAAAGACAGTTGCAACACAGGTGGACATTATAGAAGAAGAAAAAAAAGCTTTGTTTTTTTAATAAGAAAATTACATCTATTTTAGCTAATGAATTTTCAACCCAGAAGTTATAAAAATATACATAACAAAGTGTGTGGCTGTCGGTGCAGTGCCAGATACTGGTGTGCAACTAAAGCAGTGCTGATAGTCAGTTTTGTCCATGACGCATAGGTGGAAAAAAGGGACTGTGTGTATTTCTTTATGTTCCTAACTGCATGATGTGGTCTTAGCACCACTATCACTTTAAACTAGATGATAAGTGAGCATTTTAGCTAATGCTTAAGAGGAAAAAAAAATATAATTGTACAGTGGGAAACAGATTGACATTTTAACGATTTAGTGATGTGTATCTTTCATTTGTTCTTGTCAAAGTTCTACTTGACCAGCCATGGGGGACAGCTGAAGAGCAATATGAATGAAAATGACAAAGGATGGGTCAACTGGAAGGTGAATATTTGACTATTTCTATAAGGAGGGAAAAAGAAATCATTACAATTGTTAGCTAAGTTATGTATTGTGAAGGACCAGTGCTTTATCTATGGTTATTTTTTTTTCTGTGACTTCAGAGCAATATCATGTTGAAGTGAGGCTCTTTGTGCTCTAAAATAGTATAACTTTTTAGAGTCAAGGAGTGCTTGTATTGAATCTAGATTTTATTTTTGCTTTGAACACTCCACACACAGTCTTCACTTGTTCTTCTTGAACAGATACTGTTCTCTGATGGACTGCTTGATTTAGGCAGTTCTGACAGTCATCTGTTTTGGCAGTGCTCTTTTTGGTTTTTATTTTTAATTTTTTATTGGGAAGAGCACTGCTGGTGTGATTGAAGAGTGGTTCCACTTTGAGCAGATTTTGTGTGATCGCCAGAGGCACAGAGTAAACCTCTCCTCCCACATCCTAACAAGTGCTGTTCGCTTAGTTAGTGTTTGCATCCGTTCTTGCTCTTTTGGAAAGGTGGTCTTGAAATGATTGGAATCTCTGTGGGGACAGAAGGTAACACTTGAAGGGAATCGCAAGAACTTAAGGTTTTGCAGAGTTCTTTTGGCGTTTCAGAAAGTTTCTCAGCAACTGTTTTACACACCAGTGCTCTAGGGAGCAGTGGTGGGTCTGTGGATTATTCATGCAGTATGCAGTCTGTACTGTGGGATGTAATGAAACGTGAATGAGGGGCGTAAAGCGACTCTTGTTTTTGCTGGTTCAGTCTTGGGTCTGTAAAGATTGCCCAGCAACTCAGCAGTTAAATGTAACTCTTTGAACTCTTTTAGGATATCCAAATTAGAACAGAGCACTACAGTGAGCTAATAAAGAAAGAAGACCTGGTGTACCTCACCTCAGATTCCCCAGACGTTCTTGGTGAGCTTGACGAGAGGAAGGCTTATGTGATTGGAGGACTGGTGGATCATAATCACCACAAGGTAAACTGTGGGTATGCTGCTTCTTTACAGTTCTTCTATTCACGTGTTGTTTTGCGTAAATAATGCACACGTATAAACTAACAAAAATAAATAATAAGAAAACTTCTTCAACAAAGATTTCATTAAAAATTTGTTGCAGAAAAGAGAAAGTAAAGCTTGTGGTGGTATCAGTGACTTGTGTTCCAGAGTGCAGACATGCTGAGGCTTTTTAGGATTGAATCTTTTAGTTTTAAATATAGGAACGGAATTCGTAACGCTGCTCAGCTTACTGAGGGCCATATTTTCAGACAGAAGGGTTTGGTTTCTTTTCATACACTTGCGTGTGTGCTTGTATGTGCATGCACCCAAAAATAGATGAAGAGCAGTGCTTGAATCTTGAATATCCTTTTTTTAATGAGTTTGCTTGACAGGAGAATTTAGTGAAGTAATGCAAGTGCCTGAGAGATTGGTTCCATAGCTGCACATGGGACTGTGCTGTGTGAACCTGGAAAGTCATGGAGAATGCAGCTGGGAAATAAAAGCACTTTTTGTGCGCTTTTGTTCCCACTTTTGTTCAAAGAAACCCCAATATCACTTCTGGTGATGTGTTGAGGCTTAAGATTCATTCCTTTTTTTTTTTTTTTTTTTTTTCTTAGCATCACCAATGATACTAAAGCAGTTAGTCCACACTTAAAGGCTAGTAGGAAACTAAAGCGAATCCCTTATGGTCATTATAATACAAGCGGTTACTCACTTGTATGGGAGCTGTTGATCACAGCCTGAACCTCTGATTCATCACCTGAGGTGAGCAGTGAGTCAGCTGTGAGAGCACAGGTGAAAGCAATTCACCTGTGCTACCAGGAAGGGGTGGAGCCTGGCTCCACCTCTCCTAGACCCCATTTAAGGACTGACTGCCACTGAGGAAGGCACTCTTTCTGGGGATGGCTCCTTGTGGAGTTTACTGCAAGCCTACAACACTGGTGAGTGTTTTCATTTATTTTGGTTATCTTTCCAAGGTGATAATTTTACTGAGCCTAGCCTAGAATGGCTTGTGGGGTATCGGCTTCCTTCTCCAATCCCAAGTGAAGGGCTGACACACAGCCAGTATCTGACAATGCAATTTCTGGCATCTGGCTTTCCTTAGGGGGCTTAAATGAAGACTCATCTGACTGCTCTGCATTGCTGATCTCCTCTGTGATTCCCTTGTGTCAGCACCACCGATGCTGATGGGCACTTAGCTTGGTTTGCACTAGAGCCTGAATCCTCTTCAGGTCTGACTGCAGCACCGCTGCGATACTTAGCGCTCTTTGAGATCAGAGGGAGAGAAACACAAGCAGGGACACTGCTTTCATCTTGAGAACCTTTAATTTCTAGTTTTGCACTGTCATCTTCAATGACAGTGCTGGGCTGAGTTGTCCTTATTGCTGGAGCTGAAAGGTCCTGTGAGAAATCTAACCTCTTGCGAGTCTGATGTGTAAGAGAGGGTGTCATTGGCCCTGCTGGCTTTACTGATTTTACATCTTACCAAGGCTAACCTCTGTATACTTATTGACTGTGCAAGTGTACACGCTTTCCAGAACTGGTTACCTTAAACTGAGTAACTTTGTGCTTCAGCCCAGGCTTGCCCTTGAAGCAGGCTGTGCCTGGCATGTTCTAGACCTGTATGACCAGGTCTTGTTTGCCATCCTTCTGACCGTACGTCATAGAGTGACATGTATTTGAGGGGCATGTTTTCCAGAGGTAACTCTTGAAGTAGATACTGTCTTATCTGGATAGTTTTCTGTTTTTAAAGATCTTCCTCAGCAATAGTGAGGCAGTACTGATGAGACTCTGGACAGAAAATGATGCTTGTAATCTTATCTGTGTGCGCTGATATGGAATTGTGGTACTCAGTCCAGTTGTTCTTATGCCTTTCCTCCAGGGAATTACTTACAAAAAAGCTGTAGAGCAAGGGATCGGTCACGCACAGCTCCCTCTGGGAAGCTTCGTGAAGATGAACAGTCGGAAAGTGTTAGCAGTCAATCATGGTGAGTTCTAAAATACTGAGTGACGATGCTATTACAGAACGTACCTGCAGAATTCTGAGTTTGAAACTTCGGATTGTGCGCTGTAGTGAAAGCATCCAGTTTTTAGTGAGCTGGTATTTCTTGAATCTAATTGCCTTTGGGATGCAGTAGTCATAACCTTTAAGTATTTTAGGTATGGGGAAATACAAAAGTAGCTAAGGAAGTGCCTTATCCACTGAGAACTGCACCTTCTGTTCTCTTAACTTGTCCCGTGATTCATTTTGGCATTGCTACCACCCCAGCCTTACTTCTAGACTTAGTGGATAAGTGAACAAAACACTGAAAAACCATTCTGTGTATTTTATTCCACTGGAGGTTAAGAATGTGATGTTTTTTTATGTCTTCTGACAGCTTTGTTCAGCTGTAACTGCTTAGGTACATGTATGCTGACCTAGTTTGATTAAGCAGTTCTCCATCTGCTGAGCTTTCATAACTGCATTTTTACCTAGCTTCCTGGTTTTGGTTGAAGTATACAATTATGCTTGATGAAGTCTTGATGCCTTCTAGTCCTCCTGTTCTATGATTATTTTCCAGTGTCCTTTTTTTTTTAAAAAAAAAAAAAAAAAAAGCACAGAAAACAGGGGCTGCACAGACCATTGTGGGAGTTTTTTTAACATGGCATTTGAGTTTTCATTTTGCATCACTTCATGTTCATTTATTTTATTTGTCTTGCCTTGTGTAAGTTTATGTTATTAATGTGTTGCACGATAACTTTAATTTTATGAGGCCAGTGATTGATGAGATGCACGTTTGCATGATAATAAAGAATATTTAAACATAAAGGAAACAGTTTCTAAAACTTAATTTTTACGTGTCCTTTATGTAGGCACTAGCAAATCTTTGCTGCTTATTAGAAGTTCTGCTGTCTGTAAAGTTTTATTGGAGAATTTTTCTGCAGTAGTCTTATACTGACCTCTAGTGTCAACATTTTTGGAGGCTGCCTTATGGGGAGAAAAAGAGATCACTTATTTGGGCACTTGTTTATTTGTTTTATGATATTATACACTTTTCTTGTGTTAGACTTCTAGGCACCTGATTTCACTGCAGTTTAGTTGCTGGGATTTCATATTGTGTGGGATTACATTCCCTAAAATATTTTCAGATCAGAGCTGAAAAGCATAACACACAGACCATTTGTGAGGTTCTGCTATTTCGCTTAAGGATTTCAGGCAAGAATAATTCCACCACTGCCAGAAGTGGAGGGACACTGTGGTTGTAATCATGGCCTGGTCCATATTGTAACCCTAATAACACAAGCTAAATTAAAAAAGACAGTTGTCAAGGGAAATGCTACTAGATATGAAGAAGATGAACAGAATCAAGCTGTCTCTCAAGTTTCGTATAAATTTTGTGCAAGAGAGAAGCTTATTTGCACTGAGATTTTTTTGTTGTCCTGAGAATGCATCTTGTTGCTTTTGTGATTGCTCCCCATTTCTGTTTTGGTTGACATCTGGGTGCCTGCTCTCGGTGCAGGGATTGAAGCTAGAAGACCAGAGCATGGGACAGAAGAGACTGTGGGACCTGCCTGGTCCCTATGGAACTGTTTTTAATAGTGGTGAATTTGAAAAATCTCAAAGAAACTCTTTATTAACTGCCTTGTCAGTCTTTGAAGCACTTAAATTGAATGGGGCCCTCTGGTGGTGAGAAATCGCTAGTGTTGTTAACAGTGGAGTCCATATGCTGCTTTTCATTTATTTGCTTATTTATAGCTTTCATTGGGATGGTGTCTCTGTATACTTCTACAATGCCTCAGAGTCTGCGTGTTATAATGGCATGAGGAACACAAATATCCATTCAGGTTTCTATGCCAAGGCAAATTCATTTTGCTGTATGTTACAGTACCATGTTACGTTCCAGTCTGCAGTGATGTCTATTAACTGCTCCCATCGTCTTCTCACGTCCTTGCTGAATGCTTTTGTTGCTATTGCAGCATATCATTGAAGCCTCTCTCTTTCCATCAGTTCTAATTTTACTGTATCAAGTTCCAAAGCAAGGGTGTTCCTTGCATTCTTCTTGTTTCTTGAGCAGCCACTTTTGCCACAGATGTTCTCTGGAGTAACTTAAAGTGGTCTTAATGCAGTGCTATGACCTTTGAGAGTTCATGCTTCCACATGCTTCCAAGGTGAATAACCTGCTCAGTAAAATGGCCATCTATGTCAGTGTCACACTGTCCTGTAATCTGGGCACCTGGCAGGCTGTCCAGGAAACCTGGATCTAGGAAACCTCCAGTAAATGTGATACTTTTCTGTATCTTGACTCTCAGCATGAGATCTGTGCAGCTCCTCAGAGCTCCTCTGATCCTTTCTCATATGGAACATTTGCACTGGGTATGTGGTTGTTTTTTTTTTTTTTCTTGAAGTCTCCATTCTCAAATGGTGTTCGCACTATTTCTGTAGTGCTTGAGCTTCTGCAGTGCTTCTCAAGCTTGAGGAACCACCCCTGCACTCCAGATTTGTTAGCTATGTTTGGCTAACCTATGAGCCATAGGGCTGCCTCCTGCCTTCCCTGCTGCTGCAGGGCTGCAATTTATGTTAAGAGTTTTTTTGGGAGGGGCAGCCTGGGATTTTTCTAAATAAGAATTTGCTGATTGCATTACATAGTTTGCATATAATGCACTTTGGAGCTATTGTCAACCAGGGAAAATTTTAAGAGGTGAAACAGAAAGGAGTTGGGTAACAGTATGGTTAGTATAATAGCAACAGCAAGAAGTTTGTATTATTAATGGTTGCTGAAAGGGGGAGTAATAAGAGTTTTTGCTTTAAGCTTGGATTTCATCAGTTAGAAGTGGAAGAGAAAGATAATGAGGTTATAGTAGGTTTTAGGAAGACTTGGGACTGTCTTTGTGTTATAATTTGGGAGGGAAGCGACATCATTGTTAAAGTGCATCCACAGGAGTATTCCTTTCTAACATGGGAAAGTGTTAATGCCAGTATAGAAGGCACCTGTGAGACCTGAAGGACCAGGGGGACAATTCTTCTGTCCCTGAGAGAAGTCGATTCGAAGTGGAGCAACTACAGAGAAGTGTTGCTGTAGTAACCGAGAGACTACAGAGACTAGAGACTGAAAGTGAGTTGCTTTAAACTGCAACAGTATCAGATTGCCACTTCTGCTTCTTCCTTCACTTCCTCGGCTCTACTCAAATGCATGTAAATGTCTGTAAAAATGGATTTGGAGCTGTGTCCCTATCAGTGCTTCAGTTTCTTTCTTGTAAAAGAGCTGATAGTGTTTCTTGACGTTGCAGTGTTTGAAATCATCCTTGCGTACCTGGAGAAGAGAGACTGGAAGGAGGCCTTTTTCAGTGTCTTGCCACAGCGGAAGGGGGCAGTTCCATTGGGAGAAGCCAGTGATTCATCCCAACGTGCCCTATGTGAGAAAGAAGGTGAAGACAAGGACTCAGACAGCAATTAGCCTGCAGGATAAGAAGATGGGAAAGATGAGACATGGAGTTTGTGAGATAACACTGAGACACGAAGCAGTTAAGCTCTGAAGATCATCTGCTGCCCTTGTGATACTTAATTGTCTCAGTGCTTGGTAGCTTCAGAGTTGGGTCAAAGTTGTTCTTGGACAGAAAGGGTAAAAACAAATGCAGTTTTTATCCTGAAACTTCTATATTAATAGCTTTAAAAAATAAATGAATAGCAAATGCAGAATTTATTTTGTTTACCAAGGAAGCTATGTTATTTATGTGGTTTTTGTTTTTTTTACTGAATCACTGTTTTAATGTGTGCATTCATCTCTGTTTCAGTTCTAAGCAAAGAATTACAAATAATCCTGTGACCTCAAAACCTGTATCACTAGCGCCTGTTGCAAGGCATTCATTTAAAAACAGAAATAACTCTGATTTTCCTGAGCATCTCAACAGACAGTCACAAGCAACTGGGTTGCCTTTATCAGCTGAGCCACTCCTATTTTTCCCCTTGATTTTTATTTAGTTGTGGTCAGAGGAGGAAATACAAGTGTGGGGTCAAGCCATTACTTAATGCTTCAGTTTGAGTAAATGGGTGTCTGTGCATGCAAAGCACGTGCCTTGGCTGGGGTGTGATACGTTTGTTGGTACGTGTGCAGTGAGTTCAGGTGGCAGTATACCTGGGTTTTTTTGGTTGTTTGTTTTGTTGTTTTTTTTCTCCATTCTATTAACTGTGTTGTCTGTCAAGTGCTTTGCTTTTTTTTTTTCCCCTTTTAAAGCCATAGTTTCTGTTTTGAAGCTGCCAATCAGTTTGTGCTTTTTCCAAGTTCAGAAATGGACACTTCAGAGGTGTGGCTTTGCTTCTCACCTGTGAGAATGTGCCCCATTCCCTAGCTTTGTAGGGGCTGTCCAAGTAGCAGCTGGGGCACTTTGGAATGTGAAAAAGTATGGCTCTCACACTGATTGCTGAAGAGCTAAAACCCACCTTACTGTGACTGCTCGTCTCTGCTGACCTGGAATCAGAGGAGATGGAAATGTGACTTTGTATTCTTTCCTCTGTTACTGCTTTTTAATTGACAATGGAAGTGAGATTCCTGCAGTCTTTGTGGTCCTAAAAGGGTTGGCAGCAAACTGGTCATTAGTTCCTAAACCTCTCCCTGTATTTCTAAAATATCCGCAGAAAAAGTTCCTTCTTTCGAAATAGCTTTTTTTTTTTTTCCCTCAAGTAGTTCTTGGTTTAGTTTTGTTAGACTACATAAAAACATTCTTTTGTTCCAGCAAGATTAGCTACTTCATAAAAGCACTGCTGGTATTGTGTCTAACAAGAGCAGTGTAAGTATGCCCACTGCTTATTACACTGAGTTTTAACAAAAATTTGTAAAACAGTCAAATTGCAAGGAGGTACATCTTTACAGCTGAGGCACTGCATGTGAGTGTACATAGCACCCATCAAACCTGCTATAAGATGCTTCGGTCTCTTGAAGGTTTTTTTAATCACAGAACGGCCAGGGTTGGAAGGGACCTCAAGGATCACGAACCTCCAACCCCCTGCCACATGCAGGGCCACCAACCTCCCATTTAATACTAGACCAGGCTGCCCAGGGCCCCATCCAATCTGGCCTTGAACACCTCCAGGGACGGGGCATCCACAACCTCTCTGGGCAGCCTGTTCCAGCACCTCACCACTCACTCAGTAAGGAATTTCCCCCCGACATCCAACCTAAATCTTCCCTCCCTCAACTTAAAACCATTTCCCCTTGTTGTGCAGGTATCAACCCTTTCAAAGAGTTGATTTCCCCTCCTCTTTGTAGGCTCCATTTAGGCATTGAAATGCTGCAACGAGGTCACCCTGCAGCCTTTTCTCCAGGCTGAACAAGCCCAGCTCCCTCAGCCTCTCTTTGTATGGGAGGTGCTGCAGCCCCCGATAATCTTCGTGGCTCTCTTCTGGACTCTCTCCAACAGCTGTTCTTTTTGTACTGGGGGCTCACATGCTTGGACTCAGTATTCCAGATACTGGGGGGGGTCTCACGAGAGTAGAATAGAGAGGGACAATCACCTCCCTGTCCCTGCTGGCCACCCCTCTTTTGATGGGGCTCAGGATACCATTTGCCTTCCTAGCCACTAGGGCACGCTGCTGGTTCATGCACACTGTGGGCTTATAGATTTTAAGACTTATTTCATATGTGTGCCTCATTTAGGAGATAAGCTGGGAACTTTAGAGACACTTGAACAGGTCCAGTGGCACTTTATGAAATTATTCTGGCGACAAAGCATTTTAGTTTCATGAAGGAATCGTATTACAGCCTAAAAGACAGCCTGTCTTGCATATGCAGCAGTGAAATCAGAAAAATGCACATTTTTAAATCAAGCTGTTGCGAGTCTGGAGCTTTCCTACCTGTGGATAAATCCAGACCATATTCCTGTCCTAGCTTTAATCTACAGGATGTATGAATGACTGCAAGATTTGAGTGATGCCTCCTGCAGTGTTTCCAACAGATTTGAAGTACCTGCAACTTAGAGGTCCAGTATCCCACTTACTTCAACAGACAGTAGTTGCCTGTGGTACTGACAAGCAAAGAAAGCACGTAGCCAGACTGACACAAAGCAGGTGAAAGTTGTGAGCTTGTGAGAGACCTGGGCAATGATTGCCAGCAAGTTCTAAAGTCAGTGGGATTTATATGGTCTTACAAAACAAAGAAGCACTGTCTGGAAGTGTCTTTTGGCTCCTGGTTCCTGTTTTCTAACACATTTAACTTCAAATTAGGAAAAGTCTAGCATGTTGCTTTTGTAAAACTTCGAGTGTTGCTCCGTAATATCATAGTAGTGATATTATGACCAATTGCTGGGTGTTCATTCATGTTGTCTAAATCACTTTGGTCTTTGTGTCCTTTCTAGTGCCTTTGCCAGTAATTTCTGTTGCTGTTGTTTACTTTTTCTCTGATCATGCTAACCTCACTGGTCATACTGTGCTGAAGTCTGTGCATCTTGTCATGCACTGTCTCTACAAGATGCTCAGGTTGTGTTAACTGCTACTTAACTGTAGATGGAGCAGTAAGGACTTGCACTTCTTGTGAGGTAATGAACTGGGCGAGATTTTCTTCCTGAGCTTGGACAAAATTATCAACAAAATGATTGCAGCACAAAAGTGGGGAGACCTGTAGCTCCTGCTGTGATGCATCCACTCAACAGACAGACCAGGAATGTTGTCCTCCTGTCTCTCTATTATCTTTTTGCTTTGTGGAAGTGCGGAGAGATAGGATGGCCGTTTGTTGACATCCCTGGGAGAAGCATCCCGAGTAGCGTTGCCCTTGTCCTGCATTTCACTCGGATGTGTACGTTGTCCTTCTTATATTTTCCAGTTTCCCTGAACGTTTGACTGCCCCTGTGAAAAAGAGCACGGGCTCCCCAAGCAGTACATCTTAGTACCTTGTTGCTCTGCAGTGGTGGGCGGGAAACAATCAAGTGGTTAAAAAAAATCATGGGATTTGTGAGAAATTGTAGGACTTTGAGCGTGGCTTCCAAGCTGTTTGAATTGCATCCTGCAATATGGCATGGCGCACTGACAGTTTGACACTTGTGTTGCAGGCATGACAGCAGAATTACTGGCGGGAAGGCTGGGCGTATCGCTTAGAGGAAGCTGCCTCACAGCAGCAACAATTCCAGCTGTTAAAAATGAGAGATGGCAACTGCTAGTCCAGGTCCAAGTAAATCCCCAGTAAAAGACAGGTATGAGATCTCAACTGAAGGCGGTGAATGATGAGTGCCGTCAGTTATTTGTTCAGTGAGTAAGTTGCATAATAAAGATACTCAAATCTGTTAGAATAATAAGGCTTTTTTTTTTTTTTCAGAACTGCTTATTGAAATAGTTTTCAACGACTGCATAGTTTTTTTTCCTGAAAACTCTGAAAATTTGTCCATATTTAGTTATTCCAGTGAAGCATGTAACTTTTCTGTTTGAACCGCACACTGCAGAGATACATTGAGTGGGGCCAATCTGCAGTGACAGTGTAACCTCTCTGAAGAGGAATGGAAATAAATACTTTCAGGGGAGATTGGTTTGCAACCCGAGTAGTTCATGAAGCATTTAGAAATGTTTGACATTGATGCATGACTGTTTAAACTAGCATACTGTTTCTTCTCAGTAACAGAGGATGGTTCCAAAAGGCTGTGGGCTCCCAGCTGTTGGTGGTAAGAACAAATGATAGTTCTGAAGATGAGGCATCTAATTTTATTACAGGACAAAGAAATGCAGCTGTCTCACCAGAATAGTCTTTCAAATATCTCTGTCCTTGCTGTGCTTTGGTGTTTGTAAGAATCTGTTTCAGCTCTTCCTGTTAGAGAATCTGCATTATCAATAGAGCAGGCAGGTAGGACCAGGGAAGGAGTCAGGACAGGTGCACAGCATGACTGGGTAACACTTGTATTAGGCTGTAGCCTGTTGATCTGGTGTGACTTTTGCCATTCTTTAGCCTCTAAACATAAATAACTTTTATTCTAGGCTTAAGATTCATGCACTGAAACTTGTTTGTCCTTTTCGCTTGCAGCCCAGGTGGCCAACCATAGCCTGGGTTGCATCAATAGAAGCACGGCCAGCAGGTTGAGAGAGGTGATTCTGCCTCTCTACTCTGCTCTTGTAAGACCTCACCAGTACTCCAGTTCTGGGGCCCCCAGTACGAGGAGGATGTGGAGCAGGTCTGGAGGAGGGCCGTGAAGATGATCAGAGGGCTGGAGGACCTGCCCTGTGAGGACAGGCTTATAGAGCTGGGGCTTTTCAGCCTGAGGAAGAGAAGGCTCTGGGGGGAGCTTATCGTGACCTTCGAGTACCTGAAGGGGGCCTACAGGAAATCTGGGGAGGGACTTTTCATAAGGACATGTAGTGACAGGAAGAGAAGAAATGGCTTTAAACTGGAAGAGGGTAGATTTAGACTAGATATTAGGAAGAAATTCTGTACTGTGAGGGTGGTGAGATGTTGGAACAGGTTGCCCAGTGAGGTTGTGGATTCCCATCCCTGGAGAGGTGTTCGAGGCCAGGCTGGATGGGGCTTTGAGCACCCTGGTCTAGTGGGATGTGTCCCTGCCTGTAGCAGGGGGGTTGGAACTAGATGATCTTCAAGATCCCTTCCAAGCAAGTCATTCTATGATTTTCATAGATGGGTGAAGCACCTTTGAGGGAGATTTGTCTTGGACATCTAGCAAAAGCAGTAGCCTATGGCTTTGAAGGGAAATAACTTTGAAGATGCAGCTGACT